ACAGAGAGACCTTGTTCGTGTTTCATGATCAGACCCATTTGGAATTGCTCGAGAAGGATCTATAGTATTTTCGGCAGGTCCGTGATGATTTCTCTGAAAAAAAGGTTGAACACAAAAAAATTTAGATGAAGAGCCACTGCTTTTACTTCAAGGCTTTACGTTACAACTAATCATTGAGGTTGCAAAATTCTATAAAATTGTTAAAATCTTAAGCATGAAGGAAATTAAATTCTTTGAATGATAATGCACTGTCATGAAACATGATAATAGTACATTGGCATGACAAGGACCATTTGTAAAAGACTGCTTAGTAGAAAATAAGACACTGGAGGCTGGTGTTGTTTCTTTTGCATTCAATATAAAACATAACCTCTCATACAATTAGACAATCACAAGTTTCATAATTTTATAACAACTTAATAGTTCAAGTTCGAGTGTCGTGTAAAGATCAAGTTTATCAATAGTGAATAGTAGAAAATAGCAATATGTTCTAACTATGCTATGCTAAAATACTATAGCAAAGCTATAATCGCTATCTGATAACACTCTCTATGAACTGACCCAACACAAGAATTGTTAGCACCTAGCAGGATTCGAACCTAAGAAAATAGGTTCTACAATAGCAATCTGTTCTAACTATGCTATGCTAAAATACTATAGCACAGCTATAACCGCTATCTGAAACACTCTCTATGAACTGACCCAACACAAGAATTGTTAGCACCTGACAGGATTCGAACCTAAGACCTTAAGAGAAACACACTCTTAGAACCCAAGCCTTCACCGACAGACGGGCCAATGCACTCATGCTTATAATGTCATGCATTAGCAATCAAGGTAAAAAAAAAGAATACATACACACTATCCTAATTACTTTACCCATGGAACTAATTTACTTGGCTCCTGATTCCACCCTTCATAAGACTGTTCATAAATCTGTAACTTTTCCTGTAGGAACTGAATATATTCAATAACCTGGACATAAACAAAACAAGCTATAAAAAATCAGAATTCCTTACAACAACAAGATATATACAATACAAGAAGCAAATAATTGAATAAGTACCCATCCAACAAAAATGAAGCTTTATCCCCTTTTTTGATCATTTTGAGGTATAAGTTCTCTCAGAACCTGAAATCTGTCTCAGAAATATATTTCTTCTCAAACATCCAATCATTACTAAATTCTAATTAACATAAATTTTAATTCAAAATATACATACAACAACAACAACAACCAAGACTCATCCCACTAACAAGTCTTATCCCACTAAGTGAAGTCAGCTCCAAGGATCAACTTGCACCATAATGTTCAATTGAAGATCATGTTTTCTACCCAAATTGTTAATCTCGAGATCTTTCTTAATAATATTTTCTTATGATCTTTCTAAGTTTTCCTTGACTTCTCTCCATCTGATCTACTCTCGTTACACAGAATCTACAAGTCTTTTCTCTACATGGCCAAACCATCTAAGTCTATTTTTCACCATCTTCTCTACTATAGGTGTTATCCCAACACTCTCTAATATTTACATTTCTAATCCTATCATGTTTAGTCTTGCCACCCATCAAACACAACATCCCCCATCTCTGCTATACTTACTTCCAACATTCTGTCTCGTAAAACATCGTTGCAATTCGATAAAATTTTCCCTTCAGCTTCAGCAATACCTTTGCGTCACATAGAACCCCTGAAACCACTCCTCCATTTCAGTCATCCAGCTTGAATGTGATGATTTACATTACGAACCCAATATATTTAAGCCAAAATATTCCTAATACAACAATTTATTAAAAACTTTTTTTTACTTTTTTTCCAAAAAAAAAAAAAAACCTTGCCTTTCGTTAATTTTGCTTCTTCTTCGCTGCTCAGTCTCAGAATGCTTAGAACGATGAGGGTTCGCTCTTTTCCCTCTACCAGGTTCATCCACCCTTCACTGCCAACTCACAACACACACACCACACAAAAAAAATCAAATTTTGAGTTAAAATTGAATTACAGAACGCAATAAATAGTGAAAAAGTGAAGAAATTTGAAGCACCAATCATGAATCAAGGAATTGTGAAACCTAGAGAGAGAGAGAGATTGCACCATTGTTGTTGTTGATGTTGAGAGCGGAAGAAGTGTTGACAGTAAAGAGGTCTTGATCGTCATCATCCAACAGTTCTTCATCTTGATTGCCTTTACAAAACCTAGCCATTTTCTTTCTTCTTTGATTGAAAATTTTTCTATAGAAAAATACACAAGAGAAATAAAAAAAAAGTTTGAGCTTAGTAATGTGAGTACTACAACCCTAGTGCAACTAATTACATTTTTTTTTTAATTTTATTTTATTTTTCACCAAAAGTTAATACTACTAAATATTTGTGAATTTTTAAATATTAAAAAATATATTAATTTTTTAGTCGTTCATTTATTATTTTTATACGAAAATTAGTAAGATATCCGTGGTTTCATTTCATAATTATGTCATGAATCGATTCATGATTCAAAATGATGTGGCTTCTGATTTAAAGTATTTAGTGAAGCTATTCACAAGAATAGATTTGTAAATTGAATCTTGTCATGACATTTTCAAATTATCTTTATTATTTGAGTTGATTCACTTGACATCCTTGATCGGAGGCATTTAAGCAAACTTGCACTAATTTTATGCTATTTCTCAAGCATTTATAAAAAAAAATTCTCATTTTATTTAAAAAAATACGTATCAAATCATTAAAAAGAGTGCTGGAAAAAATACTTCATCTCTCTCAAAATATAACCTTCATCTTGTGAATGAAGATCCATCAATCTTTGAGAGTGTGTGATGATATTTTATGAGTAAATCAATTAAATTGCTAACATGTTTTGAAGTGTATTGTTTATAGATTTTGGATATGTTTATGGAATTCATGAATTGAAGTTCCACTAAAGAAAAATAGTGGTCTTCGCAATTGGAAGTGGAGTTTTCGCTTTTTTCAACCTTTGTGAAAATCAGACTTAAATTGTGATCAAGATTGTAGTTGAGGTTAGATGTGTTATAGACAAAGATTAATAAATGAAGAAGATAAAGGTTAGATAGAATTGAACAATTTATTTGAATGATTTTATGTGATTTTCTTGTAACCAAACTTTGTGCCAAAACAAAATCTAATGGATAAACAATTTTTTATGGTTTACCATCGAAGACTGAACTAGGTGTTTGCGAGTGACAAAACATTGAACTAGTATAAATCTCTCTCTCTCTCTCTCTCGCTCTCTCTCTCTCTCTCTCTCTCCATCTCTCTCTCTCTCTCTCTCTCTCTCTCTCTCTCCTCTCTCTCTCTCTCTCTCTCTCTTCTCTCTCTCTCTCTCTCTCTCTCTCTCTCTCTCTCTCTCTCTCTCTCTCTCTCTCTCTCTCTCTCTCACACACACACACACATAATTTCTTGAGTAGATTTGTATGCTTTAGAATATTTTTTGTTTTATATAGATTTTTTGCATGTTCAATATTTTTGTATATTCATAGCGAATAACTTTGTAAATGTTAGGTATGATTAGATTAAATTTTTGAGGTGATCTTCTTCTTAATTAAACTATTGAATTGTAATTCTAGATGGTAGAAGTTCATTAGTTCAATATACTTCAAATTCCTTATTTGAGTCGTAGAAGATTAATTCACACATTACTTGTTCATTATTTATATCCTTTTTGGTATTTTATTTGTTACTTTCAAAACTTTCATTTGTGTAAATCATTTTTTCAAAAATATTTTCACCATTAAAGTTTCTTCAAAATAACTCTAATTTTGAAAATAATCGAAGGAAATTTTTGTCTATTCAACATCCCCCTTAAAGATAATGGATATCATATTCAATCAATAATTGGCATCAAGATCTAGCTTTTGATAAGGATTAACAACCTCAAAAGTTATTGAATATAGTGAAATTGATCTAAAGGAAACGTACAATAAAGTCCCCCATTTTTAGCGGTGAAAATTACATATACTGGAAGAACTTCATGTACATGCACCTTATGTCAATTGATTTACAACTACATGTACCAAAGGAATGAAAATGATAATAAGATTAAGAAGGTGTATTATGATTCTAAGGCTATAAATATACGTATATATTCATTTAGTGTGAATGTATATGTATATCTCAATATCACATTGTAAGACGACCTAAATAATGTGGGGCGCTCTTCAAGTACTCCATGAAGGAGCTCAAGATGTCAAGCATCTAAAGTTAACACTTTAACAAAAGATTAGTGTTATGTTAAATATGGGAGTAAAATGGTCTAGAAGGAGGCGTTGAATAGAACTTCTCCTAATAAAAATTCTTTCAAAAGTGTTTTTAAAATGTGTTGGAGCAAAAGTTTTAGAAAATATGTAATATGAGCAGACTTGCATGATTTACTTAATAAGCAAAAAATATAATGAAGAATAGACTAATGAATTTACTAACATACAATATGTAAATTAATCGAATTCGATTCACAATGAAATGTTTGAATGAAATTTTATTAATCGAAAAAGAATCTAATATTATAAGTTTATAACATATATAATTAATAGAAAGAATGTTCAGCAAACAAGATCTAACACAGACTTAAGCTTAAACATTAAAACACTATGAGAGATAAACCTAATAACATACAAGTCTAGAAGAGATAAATCATAGGAACATGCACAATATACACAAATTTAAAAGAGAGAGATAAAGAGAATTGTGCACCATATTTATATTGGCTCGGTCGTGGTCCTTGCTTGCACCTAGTTGAACTTAAATTTCTCAAGATCTTCACTCGACCTTGAATCAGTTCCCTCTCTCAGAACCAAACAATATAATATTTTGTATACAACCATTTTTATTCGATCCTACCGAAATTTACCTTGTTCAAATCTTTGAACTATCAAAGAAATTTGAAACTCCAAAATTTTGTCTACGACGATCTTCATGTGATCCTATAGAAGTTTCCTTTTAAGAAGAAGCTCTTTTTCTGTACTGGATATCAGTCTCCAGAATAACCAAACGTAAAATGGTATCTTCAATCTAAAAGCAAATCTTCCCAACACATTAGAATGATGATGAAACTCCTTACACTAGATCTTCACACTCTCGCTTAGAGTTGAAATCAAAACATACACAATGAATTTTTGGCTAGAGATTGAAGATGATTATTTTCAAAAAGAGTCTCACACTCACTTTTTAGAACACTCACAAATTCAACACCAAGAATTTTTTCTTCAAGTTTGAATTGAAAAGAGAAAGTTATGCTTTTAGAAAAATGTGAATAGGTATGCAAAAATCTCTTTGCAAGTAATGCAATAAGTTTTGAAAGTTGTATATCATAAAGAAAGAAAAGTTTAGTTTTTACATGCGCTAGAGAAATGTGCTAGAAATGAGTAAAATTGACCCTTTGATTCAAGTCAAGAACAAGAATGGTGATTTGAGTCAAATGAGAAAATGACTGGAGTCAAGAAAATAAAATTCATATTTTGTACCCTTGATTCAAGTATTGATTCAAGTCAAGAAAGTTTATGATTTGAATCATGTCATCCAAAATGAATTCCAAAAATGAGTAGTTCATCCATGATTCAAATCAGTTTGTTATGTGATTTAAATCAAGCTCTTCTTTGAATCGAATCTGAAGATCTCGTGATTTGAATCACACTTACAGTGGAAATTTCTGAATACTCAATTTATTCATGATTCGAGTCACCTAATTCATTGATTTGAATAATGATTCCAAATTTGAAATTTTGGGAAAAAAGAGTTCATGCTTGAATATATAATTTGTCTGATTTGAACCATGCATATGGAGTTTCTTGAATCAAGTTTACATTGACTTGCATAATTTTTCAATGAACTTAGTTCAAAGGTCTATTTTATGCATGCGAAAATATAGTTTAATGAAAACACTCAAATCTAAGAGATGTGTAGAGACCTGACAATGAGGAGACTCAATTACTAAAATGATCAAGATAACCAAGTAAACATAAGACAAGCAACAAAACACTATGACCCATTTCAGTTTTCCCTTTTTTAATGCTTGACAATTTGCACTTGTAATTTAGTAGGCATGAGCATAAGAAAAACATGATCAATGTTTTCCTTCGTGCTACCTCTGAAACAGTGCACATGATACCATGGTTGCATAAAGTGCATAAAACAAATATTTACTAAATACAACTTCTCCCTCTTTGACAAGATCAAAAAGAGATTTGTAAGTATAAAGTATAACCTACAAATAATTAGCACAAAACCTTATCTAGAAGATAATAAGCTAAAAATAATCACATAAGATACACAATTTTTATAAGAAAGAATCAATAGCAAAATGATCTGCTAGACATTTCAAATGCAATAAATGGGTGACACTACATGAATACTCACAATATCAAAATGCTAAAAATACAATAGCAGCAAAACAAAATAATGAAATTAGCATCGCAAATATGATTATCAAGACACAATAAGATGGGATAATACACATAAATAAATGCATATAACATAAACAAATTTGCTTTCATGCACATAAACAAAAAATGCACGTAACAATGTTTTAAATGCAACACACTGAGTCATATAACAGTTACATGATAGGAAAATAAGTAGCATCACAAATATTATCAACATGCATAACTAGATTAGATAAGGAATTTAAAAGACTAAAAGATAAAGTCTGGAGAGGTCATGCCAGTAGAGTTGATATTCAAAATAACTTATTACACAAGAAACTGTTAGTCTATAATAAAATATATATCAAAAAGAAATAACAAATATAATCAACTCTTTTTTAAAGAAAGATAGATCAAGGATCCCCAATTCTATATAGATTTTGTAAAAAGGCTCTACAAACAATATTTTTGTAAAAATATCAGCAAAATGATTTTTAAATTCCACATATTCAAAAGTTACATCACTTTTTCCATACAAACCCTAAGAAAATGGTGTCTAATCTCAATATGCTTAGTGTGTATTGGGGAAATCCAATCCCATATTGGTTAAAGATAAATCCCATAAAATGTTTATATAGAGTGACATCCTCACCTTACAAGCCGGTTTTGTAGGGATGAGTTAGGCCAAACTCCAATTTTATCATGATATCAAAGCCTATCAATTCACGCCACCCACCATTTATATATGCACCAAACCCAATCGTGTTGGATGCAAGGGGGTGTATAGGAAAAACTAAATCCCACATGTCAACAATTTGGGTCACCCACAGTTT